GTAGACACAGTTCAGATGACRGTTCTGCGTACCCACTCTCAAGCCCTAGACCCAGAAGGAGAATCCTACCAAGATGTAGGGCCTGCCCAAATAGACCCCCAACTGAGGGAACCATGATGGGTCCCCAAGTTTTCAGACAAAGGGGGGATGAGAAACTGATGTGACTCCATTTTTGAAAATAATAACACCAGCTTCTACCTCCAGGCCTGTCCTAAGGAAGGGGGTGTGACCCTTGTCCTTGGAAAGACCCACAGAGCACCCCTAAGCACATACCCACCCTGCTGAGTTAAGTTTGTCTGTAAATAACTGGAGAGGTCTGAGGTGCCAGGTGTCCCTGACTCAAGCTAGGTGAGAACCCACAGCAACCCCCCTAGCAACCTCCAATCAGTTTGAGACCGGGAAATACATGGGATGCCAGATGACCCCCAAGTAGTTTATGGTGGTTGATAACAAGTTGGGAGACCATGTAGTTCAGTATGTGCACCCCACGTGGCCTAAACCAATCAGCTCAAAGGAACCCCCCCCCGCTTGTACTAACCAATCACCCCTACCCAACTTGTTCCCGCCAGTGAATGTGCTAATCAATGCTGAGTTGTTGTTTGATTTTCCCAAGATATGAAATGATTTGCTATGTGATGCTGTGACGCATAGAGTATCCCCCAAAACCTATAAAATCTCACTGGACCGGGACTCACTCCCTGGGACCGCTGCATGAGGAACGGTTTTGAGTCCAGGCTCGAGCTGGCAATAAAGACTCTTGTGTGCTTGCATCGGATTCGGCTCCTGGAGGTCTATTGGGGTCCCACGAATCTGGCATGACACGTCCAGCCTACCCCTTGTCCCAGCAGCTGGTGGATGCGGACCGCCAGCTGATAATAAAGCTTCCATCTTTTGCTTGAAGATGCGCTCCGTGATTTACTGCAATCCCACCTTAGCAGAGTCACCTGGAGGGAGGACGGGCAGTCCTCTCCAGGCTGCTTCAGAGCCGCGGCTCTCCTCTCCTGCGCCATTTTCCTTCTGTTCTTCCTGGGGGGGGGGGGGGGATCTTCCAGGCGGCCTCTCCTAGCCTGCCTGTCAGAGGATTACCTCTCAGGCGCAGCAGCAGGCCTGAGCCTCGCGGTCCCAGCAGCTGTTTTATTTGAACCTTCAGTCCCCTGACCCTGGGGTAACAGCTGTGAGCTCTGTGAATGATGGCTGCTCCATCCACCTTACTCCTCAGCTCTTGGCTTCATGCCGTAAATGTATGCAGACATTGAGCCAAAGGGGGCAAGGAGAATCAAGGTGGCATAATTAGTTTTCTGACTCAGGATTCAACCCGGCAGCATTCTGTACCGAGCTCCATCCCCAGCTCTTTTAGTTTCTCATGCTGAGTCGGCGTCTTCCTAAGTGGCTGAGACTGGCCCTGAACTTGCAATCCTCCTGCCTCAGACTTCCAAGTTGTCAGGATCACGGGTGTGCACCGCCGCACCTGGATGGAATTCCAGCTTATTGGTCCATTTTTTATGGCACTGGGGTTTGAGACATAGGCTCTCTACCACTGAGCTGTATCCTCAGCTCTTTGTTTTGTTTTGAGACAGGGTCTCATTAGCTGCTGAGGCTGGCCTGGGCTTCCTGGTCGTGAAGCCACCTGGGGACCTTAAGCCCCACCTCCACTCATGACCTCTGAAAAGACATTGTCCCTCCAGAGGCTCCAAGGAGCTCCGGACAGGTCTGCCCAGAAACAGACGGAAGCCCCACACTGCACAGGAACAGAGTTGCTCCCTGGAGCCCAAGGCCTCAGACCAGAGAGGCCAGTGGTGGGGATCCCTGTCCCAGGCAGAAGGCCTGAGATCCTGGGGCTGCCAGAGACTGTGCTGGGCCAAGGCCCAGGAGCCCAAAGTCCCAGGCAGCACAAAGGGTCAGCGGCCCGGCTGGAGGGAGACCAGGCTGCCTTTGGTATTTGTCCTGTACTGGCTCCTGGGCCATTGGGGGTCCACTTCACTGAGGTGGACCGTCCCTGCCTCGTCCACCCAGACTTCTGTGCTCATATCCTCTGGCTACATCTCACAGATGTACCCCAAATAATGCCCTCTGGGTCTCCAGGAATCCTCAATCCAGTCAGGCTGGCAGCTAGAAATAAGCCCCCAGATGTGAAGTGACCGAGGGTCCAGGACGGCTGGGCTGGCTCAGGGCCAGAGCGCTGGCCCCTCCTGGGCCCAACCTGGCTTCCACCCCAGCCCGGAAGCCAGGTTTAAAGATAGGCAGTTAGCGCAGTTGGGTAAATTGGGTCTAATATCAAGTCCAATCATGAAAATGGAGTCCAGTCTGAGCCAGGGAAAACCAGAAGACCACCTGGGAACTGAAATCTTGACTTCCGCAAGGCCCAGCTGTCCTGAAGACTGTTAATGAAGGAGTTCTCAGCAAAAAACGAGACACCCAGGCCCTTCCTCCCAGATCTCCCCCCACCGGCCCCATCGCTCCACCTGTTCCCCACTTGCTCCACCTGTTCCCCACTTTTTGAGGGTCCCACCTGCATCTGCCATCACAGCAGGAATGTGGGAGGGCAAAGAAGACCCAGGATATAAAAGGGAGAAGACCTCCCCATCCACGGATCCTGCTTTCTGGGTCCTCTCTTCCTCCAGGGTGCGGAAGTCTTCCACCTTCCACTCCGCACTCGCCTCCGCGGGCATCCAGGGAGCACGGACTCCTCCAGCTGAACAGCGTGACAGCAGCAGCACCCCAGGAGTGCCCAGGAACTGGTGAGTGACTACTGTGTCCTCCACACCCAGCATGGGCTCCGCCTCTCGCCCTCCACCCCAGCACCCCATCTGTTCTCTATTCTCACCTTCCAATCTTTTTTTTTTTTTTTTTTTAACCATCCTGAGGATTGAACTAAATCCCCAGTGTGGTTAGGTTTTGGTTTATTTTAATACAGGGAATTGAACTCAGGGGCACTTGACCACTGAGCCACATCCCCAGCCCTATTTGGTATTTTATTTAGAGACAGGGTCTCACTGAGTTGCTTAGTGCCTTGATTTTTGCTGAGGCTGGCTTTGAACTTGTGATCTTCCTGCCTCAGCCTCCCGAGCTTCTGGGATTACAGGCAAGTGCCACTGCTCCCAGCCCCAGTTCTATTTATTTTATTTTGAGACTGGGTCTTGCTAATTGTCCAGGCTGGCCTCAAACTTGCCATCCTCCTGCCTCAGCCTCCTGAGTTGTGGAGGTCACAGGCATGGCCACCGCCACCCAACACCCCTCAAATCTCTATCACCTGTGACTCTCCTAAAACCACAAGGACAGTTTCTGAAACATTTCTTTCTGGCGTGTGTCTTATTGGTGTTGTGGTGGATGGGAAATAGTATGCATATGGCAATATTTTACCTTGGACACTAACTTACAAGTCTACCACTGGCTAACTGACAACCAGGGAAGAGTCTGGGGCTCACTCACCAACTTCCACATTACCTTCGTTCTGGAGGAAAGGTGCTTTGGGGAAACAGCTGTGGTCCAGGGAAGTGGTTTGCATAGATCTTGGAGCAGGTTGAACAAATTCCCCTGAAACATGGAGCAATTTCCCCTTCAGCAGGGAAAACTGAAACTAGCCCTTCTTTTTAGAAGATTAACAATGTTGCATGATGGTTAAAAAGTTTCAGCCAATCCTCACTCCAAATCTCACCCTTGGGCCCACAGTCAAGGTCACCTAGAAACACCCCAGGGGGATATTTTGCCACTTTAAGTTTTCAACAAACATTTTGAAGACAAAGTAACCTGCGGTCTTTGTAGTGAACACCCACCACCTGCAGTAAATGGTCGCACTCAATACAGATCTGATTGGATGAAGGGGAACTCTCCACTGAGGGCCTGAGGGTGTCCTGTGAGTGCAGTCTCGGGGACTTGCTGCTGCTTCTCCAGTTTCTGCCCAGGGCTGTGAGAGAGCCAGTGCTGGGACGGTGGCCTCCCTAAGCAGCACCCTCCAAGGTCCCCCCCAGGGCCCACGGCCAGTATCCCACAACAGGGCCCCTCTGCTCCTCTGCGSCAGGTGGGATCTGGCTTTCGCTATCTGGGCTGCAGAGAGAGCAGTCTCCGTCCTCTTAAAGGTAGTGGGGACCTGGATGACCTCCTGAGGAGCTGGGGGAAGAGTTTCAGTCCCCACTTCCTCAGCCTGGGCCGCCTCAGGCTCTGTCCCTGTCCCCACTCCCGCCCTGCCCAGCAAACACCAGAGGTGCTCTGCTGTGCTCTCCGGAGTTCAGTGCACTAGATCCGTGGTGGCTGCCTGGGCACCAGACGTGGTCCTGGTACCTCCTGTGGAGCTCCCTGCTGTTCAGCAGGGCTGCACCCGCCCACCTTCCCGCCACACCCTCCCACCTTCCCGCCACACCCTCTGCGCCACCTGAACCCTCAAGTTTGCCCATGACAGCCATCAAGTTGGCTTTGCCCTGGTGCTTTGGGGTGTCCTCTCAGGCCGTGGTTTTGCCATTTCCAGGCTGGACAGCTGGGGGAGTGAAAGGTCTTGTGGCCAGACCTCCTCCGTCCAGTGGAAACACTCGGTGCACATGCATTTGGGATTTATCTTCCAGGTGCCAGCTCAAGTGAAATCCAACAAGTCTAGCAAAACCRCCCTTTCCAGGTGGAATTAGTCGGCAAAGGCCCTCCGTGGGATAGTTTATGTGCTCCCCCGTCCTCAAAGCTGACTGACTGTGTGCTTGGCCCTCAGCTCCTCTCCACCCAGAGGCTTTGGGGAACCACCCGTCCCTGGGGCTGCCCTGTGGGGCTGCCGCCTCCTGATGAGTCCTGTCTGCTGTTCCTGCCAGCGTTTCAGGTGTCCACAGTGCCTGCCGAGGGTCCCTCGGGTTTGCCTGCCGCTGTGACCATCCAGTGGGCAGTGATCTTCCCTCCCTGTCGAGGAAACTGGGCCTCTGGAACRCACCGTCACCTCTGTCCTTCCCCGGGCACCGGCCATGGCACAGCACCTCAGAGAAGCATGTACCTGTCCTGTCTGCTTCGGTCACCTTGAAACTCCTATGACCTTGGAATGCGGCTACGTCTGCTGCCAACGGTGCCTCGACTCCCTGTGGAAGGAGCCCCTGGCGGAGGGCGTGCTGTGCCCCCAGTGCTCCATACTCTCTGAGAAGGACAGCACCGTGCACCACGTCCAGCTGGACAGGATAGTGTCCAAGATGAAGAAACTGGAGCCCAGGCTGAGGGCCATTCTGAAGCTAAACCCAAGGATAAAGAAGTTCCAAGGTAAGGAAGCTGCCCCGCCCCACCCACTCACTTGCCGGTCCCACCCATTTGCCGGTCCCACCCACCTGCCGGCCCCACCCACTCACCTGCCGGCCCCACCCACCAGCAGGCTCTCCATTTAGTAGGTGCAAGAACTGAATTCTCTCCCTGAGGTTCTAGGCTTCACAAACAACTGTTTCCACCTGAGTGCACATAGAACCACGTGGGAAATTTTATCAAAGCGTCATGTTTAGGTTGTGCCCGAGAACTCTGGCGCCCACAGTGGATGTCACCCATTCGAATGTCACTGATAGCAGTTTGGTGCCTGAAACATGGCTATGGATACGTGGAAGACATTTTGGGGTGTACTAGGTCGAGTAGAATCCACTCCTAACATCACCTGCAGCTTCTTCTCAGTACTCTTTCCTCCTGCTTCCTGTAAGACTTGATTACAAATCACCTGGCCATGGGCTCTGCCTGGTCATTTCCTGGAACACGGACCCTCAGATTTCTCAGATTTGAAAGTCCTTGAAGTCCTTGGGGTCTTGTTGACATGCACATGTGGCTCTGAAGCACTAGGCTGGTGTGAGAACTGCAGTCCTCACAAGAACTTGGTGCTTCTGACATGGCTGGAGCCCAGCCCACTGCCCCTTGCCCCCTCTGCAGTGAGGCCTGGGACTTTGCAAGGTGGCTCTACCCCCAAGAGGGTGGGGACAGGGAATGTGCCCCAGTGGTCAGGCTCTGGGGCAAGGGAAGAAAGCATGTCTGCCCCCACACAGTTCCCAGGGACTCCAGGCCTGAGCACTGAGGTGTGTGCCTTCCTCCTGGAACCGTGAGGCTCTGCCCCACAGCTCTGAGCTCAGCTGGGTCATCACTGCTTGGCTGCATTTGGAACATGCTGAACTCAGGATGCAGATTCCTGCACCTGGGCTCATTCCAATGTGCCTGTGCTGGCTCCTTCCGTTTCCTGCGTCTGGGAGAAGGGTCCAGTATTCAGTGCTGGATGTGTTGGGGACAGCCGTGGTGATGACTTTGGCAGGTTCCCCTGGCTCATGATAGCCTCTGTGCGGGATGGGGAAACATGTCCTGACACTTTCCTGGGCACACCTCTCAGCTGCTGCATAGTCTGAGCATCTTCCTGAGCCCTATCATAGGGACCCCAGAACTCCCTCAGAGGCTCCCATAGTCCCCAGATGCATAAACAGGGTAGCAGCAGCCACTGTGTACCCCCTGGGGCTGGGAGACATTGACCATAGACTAGCCATCCTCCTCAGGTCCATCTGCCCCTCTGAGCACATCCTGGCTCCTGGCCACAGAGCTCCCTCCCTCTAGCCTCAGCTCTTCCGTTAGCCCACTTTGGCTTTGGGCACCTAGTTCCTCTTTTCTCTCTAGCTACAGAAAAGCAAAAGCCTGCGTTGAAATGTCCTAGCCAGGGAGACTCAACAGAAAGGTAGCTACAGAGCAAATGACCTTGCTATCTTAGAATTCTGCAATCAAGGGGAACATATCTCCCATCAAGCCAAGTTGATTTAAAGTCATCTCTATTTTCACTAAATTTGTGCTACTTTGTGCGATGATTTTGAGTCCAAGTAATAGTCGTGGTATTTTCCTTCATGTATCCTTTGTCCTAAAGGGAAGACAAATAATCAGGCAGTTCAATAACGTAGAAAGAACTATGGAGAGTGAAACCGTGATGCTCACGGGTTCTGTTCATAACATGGGACCTAACAGAGGCCGAGGAAGTCTGTCCGGGAACATTCTGACTTGGGGGAGAAAAGTGGCAAGAGCAGCGGGCAAAGGGCACTATGCGTGCGTGTTCACGCTGACCTCCGGCTTCTCTCCACACAGTGGACGTGACACTGGACGTGGACACGGCGCACAGCCACCTGGCCATCTCCCCGGACCTGCGGAGTGTGCGCTACGCGGGCTCTGCACAGCGGGGGAGCTCTGGAGCCGAGAGATTCGACTCTCCGTGTGTGCTGGGCTCCCCACGGCTGGAATCTGGCCGCAGCTACTGGGAGGTGGACGTGGGCACCAGCCGTGAGTGGGATGTGGGGGTGTGTGCGGATGCGGCCAGCCGCCGGGGCCCGCTGCAGCTGTCGACCGAGCACAGCTTCTGGACTGTGGGGCTGCGGCTTGGGAAGATCTTTGCTGCCTGCACGGAGCCAACGACCGAGCTGCGGCTGCTGCCCCGCCTGCGCCGCCTGGGGATCCTGCTGGACGCCGAGCTGGGGGTCCTGACCTTCTGCGACGTGGCGGACGGTGGGCACATCTTCACCTTCACTGGCGTCACCGCGCGCCCGCTGCGTCCCTTTTTCTCTCCAGCGAACACGCTTCCTGACGACCGCGGCATCCTGCGCATCTGCCCAGTGGTCTGGGTCGCCCAGGATTCTCCTCGGGAACCTCCCAGCCAGCCTCCCTGCCGGGCTCCCAGCCAGCCTCCCTGCCGGGCTCCCAGCCAGCCTCCCTGCCGGGCTCCCAGCCAGCCGCCCCGCGGTCCTCCCAGCCAGCCTTCCCGCGGTCCTCCCAGCCAGCCTCCCTGCCGGGCTCCCAGCCAGCCTCCCTGCCGGGCTCCCAGCCAGCCTCCCTGCCGGGCTCCCAGCCAGCCTCCCTGCCAGGCTCCCAGCCAGCCTTCCCGCGGTCCTCCCAGCCAGCCTTCCCGCGGTCCTCCCAGCCAGCCTTCCCGCGGT